AAAATGCAAAGGCAGGCGCGAGTTCACGTGACTGCCAGGTGCAGGGTGGGTCCCCGCTCTTGACCAGCTGTGACACTTCGCCTATATCGAGGATTATGAACAGCACCTACGCGGCAATATCGCAGCAAGTTCACAGGGAGAGAGAAGGGAGCCAGGGTGAACACAGAAGCAGAAGGGGGCGAAAGACGCCAAACGGGCGCCGAGGGAATTAATTGTGGCAAAATGAACGACGCTACGCCACGAAGGCGCAGCGAGGTCGCAGCGCGAGGGCCCGGACGGGCGGACAGACACCACTATTAATCCTCCTCAGACTCGTCCTCCTCGGTCATCTCCTCGTCCGACAGAGGCGGGAGCGGCACGAACTACCGGCGAGTTAGCAGCGAGCACATGGCGAGGATAAAGGAAAAGGAAGACTCACGTCCTCGGCGCAGAGACGCCGGGCGATCTGCTCCGACAGCGCCAGTTGCCGGGTGGCGGCGCGCGAGCTGCGAGGACTGGCAGCGGCGGCGGGGGGGGTGGTCTTGGCCTTCTTGGCCCTCTCTTTCGCAGCAGCCCGGAGCTTTTTGAGCTCCAGGGCCGTGGTCATGTCGGTCTAGTTGCGCGTTAGCAACTACCTCACAGCGATATAGATGCGACTCACGGGATCGGCGTACAGCTTTGCCGCCAGGGAGCACATCCGAGTGCCTTTGGTGGGCTCGCAGGCCCGGCCGTTACTGGCACACTTCCAGCACTTGGTGCTGGCAACTTGGACAAGGTTAGCACGCAGCGAGCTCGGTGCGAGCACTCTACTGCTTACCCTCGCTATCGTTACGACAGTCCACCTCCCTGGGGGTGGTGGACTTGCGGTGGCCCAGACAGATATCAATGAGGTGCCCGAGGCACCTGTCGCAGGGGGCGTCGCGACTGCACAACGAATTAGCTGCGAACTCGCGAGTAACAGCAGAACTTACTCGACGAGCTCGCCTTTAGGGGTCTTGGCCTTGCCCTTGGCCTTATCTTCCTTCTACCAGGCAAATTAGCAACGACTTCGGTGCGACTGAGCAAAGAACTTACGGCGGCCTCGGCCTCGGCGGCGGCAGCAATCTGCGCCTTCAGCCTCTGCAAGATAGTCAGCCAAGGACCCGAAGACACCGACAGGGGAACTCACGGCGGCGGCGGCGGCGTCGTCGGCCCTTCTCTTCTACAGTGGGTTAGCCAAACTCGCTGAGCGTACGCTGCGCGAACGTCGGCAACTCACGGCGGCGGCGGCGGCGAACTTCTCCTTCTTCTCCTTCTTCTTCTAGGAAAGGATTAGACATCTCGCAGCAAGTACGCAGCGCACAGATTGAGAACTCAGAGCGCCGGCCTCCTTCTTGGTCCCGGCGGCCTTGGCCTTGACGTCGGTATCGTTAATCAGCTACGCAAAAGGGGTTAGCGGCGAGACCGCGACGCGAACGCATTGAATGCGCAGAAAGAGACTCACGGTGGTGCCCTCGGCGGCGTCCTCAGCGTGGGGAGAGTCGGTCATCTGAGATTTCGTGTCAGAGAGTGCGAGCACGCAACGCCCTCGCTGCGCGAGAACGTTGGGGTCTTGGACTCACGTTGTTGTTGTTGCTGCTGTTGGCAGTGGCGGGGGCGCAGGTGCGTAGATGGTGCATCTGCCACCACCGTGTCAGCGCTGCGAGCGCGCGGCACACGCGATGCGCGCTGTGTGGTGGGTAATGCTTACGTATTGCTGTTGTGCTGTGGCGGCGGCGACAGTGCAGGGAGTGTCAAACTATTGCGTATTAGCGGCGAATTCGCAGCCACGAGGCATCAGGCTACGCACTTGTTCGAAAGGGTGAAGAAGAAGAAAAGAAGAAGAACAAGATCAGCGGCACAACGAAGATTCAACAACATCAGCGGATTGATCTGCCGGGCGGTCAGAACGCTGTAATAAGATGGGTTGAAGGGAAGTTGATTATGCGGTTGAAGTCGATTAAAGATCAGACGAAACCACCGAATACCAGCCTCGCTGCATGGACCCAGCATGTTCGCTACGAATACGCTACGCATGCGTGGATGCCGAGGACGGCATACGTGGAGAGGGGCGTTCTGTCAGACACACATTGCATACCAAGGTTGTTGCAGGCATCAGGGGTGGCTGAAGCCACTGACACTGTGGCTGGGTGTGGCTCAGGAAGCCCCGATTGGGTCACGTGCACAGGGGCACACCGAGGGAAGAACCTTCGCAGCCGAGGAATGCTTCTAGGAAGATCAAGAGATTAATTAATATAGTCACCAAGGAACCCGTACTCGCAGCGATCTAGCTGCGCCCTCTCGACATTGTGCACCTTCTCACTCTCTTCATTAAACCCAGTTCTGACACCATGACGACCAGTGATATCCTTATTATAAATGCCATGTCTGTCATCCTTCTCTTAGAATAGTCACATATATCGCGATCCCAAGGAACGCCTGGTAGCGACAAGGACTACTCGAGTCACGATACGCCCGGTCCGTTGCCGGTCAGCGCAATAGCACGGCTTTCAACTCGAAGTCCCAAGATCAGCTATCACAAGCCTCGGATTTGATGAGATCTGGCCATGAAATCATGAGTTAGTGCGCTAACCTTCACCCTCTGCTTTCTTAAATAGCGCTGGAGTCATTGAGCAAGAAGTGTGGGCGAAATCGAGCCACGTCACGCTGCACAATACACAATATGTCGTTTAGGCTGTCCGTAGCTACGTGGCCACGGCTCGTTCGCCGGTGATGCAGGCCAGTTGCTCCCGGGAGAAGGGGCACTTGAAACATTATAGGGTGATAATTGGGTTTTTGCTGGGAAATGGTTTATTAAGAATGATAGATGGATACCAATGAACGGACAGTGACACGCAATCCGTTTCCGGCGATGTCTTGCGAGCATCGCGCGTCCGTTTGTGGCCGTGTGGGGTGGCGTAGTTGCTTCATCGAGTTGTGTGTCAAATCTCTGTTGGCTCATCGACCATGAGATCACGTGGCCTTTCGTTACGTTCTTTTCTTGAAACTTCGTCATCCTTCGCCTCCGCCGCGCTGTGCCTTTCCGGTCGGAGGCGATATTTACGCCCAATGCTCAAAATAGGAGACGATGAGAGCAATCACCGAAGCAATACTACGAGCGGAGGTTCTGCAAGTGACTCTGCGTCCGCAGGTGCGCAAGAGTCCTTAAATACAGAAGCCACCGAATCGGACGAGCTCCTCGTACACTTGCGAGGCGACAAAGATAGTGACCCTGCCAGTTTTCATTCGATTGGTCTCTGACCGCCGGAACTAAGACGAGATATTTGGGCTCTCTTTTGTCCCGAAATGCTTCTCAAGTCGCGGCTACTGGGCATTACTGTTGGGCCACCTTCGGAAAGACACGCGCATGATTACTCTTGGCCTCAGGATGTGCGTTTATGGACTGCGCACGATGGTCGCACCCTGAAAGCCATGACACTGACCACGCGACGGCTCCTTTCGGTGAACCAAGAATCTCGGGCAATAGCCCTGGAGTCATACCCCGACTTCTTGAGTTTGGACCTGGCGCCACACGATGCTATCGTACGATTCAACAAGGAAACAGACGTAATTCTACTGACGGGTTATGACATGGACTATCACAATACTGAAAAGTATCATTTTCCTGAGTTCGCCACGCAAATCAAGCAGCTTGCCATCTCTGCCACGCTAGGTTACAGTTCAACGGCAGGCAATTCGGTAGGCCTTAAATCTGCCTTCTAAGACAATTCCCAGTCCTGGAAAGAATATTTTTCCTGCTGGAGAACATCCAGTATGGTAATACTAAAGATCTGCGATGGTGTGTGCCTGGATACGTTCACGAGCTTTATGTCGGGGCATGCAAGAATATGCTTGGTCCCAGCGAGGATCCACAAATGGTCTTTTGCTGGCCAAATGCAGACGAGCACAAGACGTTTCACGACATCTAGCGCATCGCGTCTTTATAGACAACTACGTGGCAGCCACAAGCGGATGACGGGTACAGACCCGACAGTTGGTGAGACGGCCGGCTTCCACAAACTGAGCTCTGGCAGGACTAGTCATCCCACAGCCAGAATCTGCTGTCGGTGTTTACAAAGGCGCTGAGGGGGGAACAGGGGTTGAGTGCGTCCAATGGACTAGGGTTTGGGCCATTACATCATTGTCTGTGTGGGATTTTCTGCGTTGATGTTGTCACTGCTGGCCCTAGACTCGTTGTGTGATGTACATCCTACTCATATGTTCCGCTCTCCGGTGCCCGCTTTCCGGCCGCTCGGATCCTCTACGACTTCGAATTGGTGGGTATGGAGGCGCATACTGTATAAGCGGCGTGGCCGCGAGCGGGCGTGTTAACGTGCTGTACGGTGCAATACTTCCACAAAACTCGGTTCTCGCTGTTCTGTTTCCTTTCTTGGGAATGTTGAGGAGGGCACCGCGGCCGGAAATAGACAGCAGCACGCGCCATCTCGGCCAACTTGAACTTGACGCGCTGGGGGGCCAAGAGCCGATCCGCTTGCTCTTATCGGAAGTTGCGCGTTATCGTCGCGTGTCTCCGCGTAACAGTCGCCGGGCACGCTCCCTAGCCCACTGTGCCACTCCTACAATCCAAGTCCCGTGTTTGCATGATACCGCATGACATCATGAACTCGGCAGATGCGGGTGGGCCACCATGGAGGGAGAACTGTAACGGCTGAGGACGAAGCTTGAAGAAGTTCAACATCGAGCATCAGAGAAGGACGTGAGGAGACAGTAAAGAACGGGGGCATCCTAGCACCAGGCACTGCAACCTTATCTTGAGTACTGCCGCCGGCTGAACCTCGCCAGAGGTATCGCTTGTTGACCACTGTACGCTAGGCGATACGAAAATCCCATCGACAAGGATTTGCTCGAATTTATACGGTCATGGGAGGATTCTCCGACGAATCCACATCATATGTTGCGGCAAACATCATAGCGAATTACCACAAGTGGCTTCGACCCACCACGTCGTCAAAAGGCGGGTCCAAGAAGCCTGAACTGGCTCCTAATCATAATCTGCCGATGAGAAACGACGTCCCGAGACAAAAGTACCTTTTCCGACTTGAACGGCCAGAAGCGTACGTTTTGGTCGGCGACCTGGCACGTTTACCCGCAGTGTGCGGATGGAAGGTGACATTATTGTTGCGCCTCCGACAATCAGCCGCACACACTCTTGCCTCATTCAAGGAAAAGGCGGTCTTAGACCCAAATACATGCTAATTTGACCTCTTGGACATTGAAAGAGTTTTTCCTGGTCCAAAACGATCATAAAATTGGCTCCCCTCTCCCGAACCAGGCGACCCCCCTCCTCGACGTAAATCGCGGTCATTCATTCCCACCGTCCGTGTGTAAAGCGCGTCTAGCTGCGTCAGAGCTTCCATAGACTTTTGCACTGTTTCATTATCCACTTGACCACCAAAATGTCGTGAGCGGCCCTTGAGATTCCAGCCAGGACTCTATTGGCATTGCGGCGAATAGTGCAAAGTACCTCGCGGCGGAGGCCGCGTTCACAGCATGTGAGCGAGGGGTGCTCACACATGGGGGAATGGGATATACGAGCGAGTACGATGTAGAGCGGTGGTCTCGCGAGTGTCTGGTGTCCAGGATCGCGCCGGTCAGTCGGGAGATGATTTTGAACTATATCCGTGAACAGGTGCTGGCGTTACCACGAAGTTACTGACGGGACATGTAGACGCACCAGCTTGATACATGACGAGAGCTATAGCAACTCTGATTGCCATACTTACATGTTGCATGTGAATGCCCATCTCCCTACACACTGAACTCGAGTGGATAAACCTAGGCCAGCTTGCGCCATGTCGGTGAACTTGCACAATGGGGACAAACTATTGGGCTCCCTCATGGGAGTTGGTGAATCAAATGGGTGTTTGTGCCACTATATGTAGTAGACTAGATGCTAAGCTTGTCGAGACACAGCCTCAATACCCAATTCTTCTGGCTTGTAACACTCTCCACGCTGCTTAAAGCTTCGAAGACCTGTTTTTCCAAGCGAAAAAGTGTTTTTCGCGTATATTCCATGCTACCCGAGTCATGCAGAAGCTGTAGAATTAGGCGTTTGACTGGTGCACTACGACGGCCATGCTCTTGCGTGCATTGTAGGAGCTCTTTGAGTCGTGGATCAGGGGTTTCGGTGTTCAAAGCGTGAACAAGTGGAAATGAGAACTTTCCCTCATCAAGGTCCTCGCAGAAACCTTTCTGAGCTGTGTACTATTCCTCGGGTTAGAGCCGACATGGCTACTATGATCAAGATCGCGTTGAACCTACCTCGTCCGAGCTGAGATTCTGATAATCATCGCGGATCTGGAAATAAGTGCCAATTAGATTGACCAACTCATTTACGCCGTGCTTGACACTATCGGACATGTTAACACCCGAAGCATTAAATGGCTACAAGGGGATTCCACCTGTTGTTTGCGCCACTGCTTATCAGCTGCCAAAGAAGCTGGAACAGGCCACCAGTCTCTGTAGTTCGTATCAGCAATGATTGGGCTAAGACGGAGAAGTGACCTACTCTTCGACACCATTTCTAGATACTCCTCTTCGGAAGGGCATATAGCGTGGCGGGTCCAGTAAAGGTCGTAACTTTGTCCCACGTGCAGGTTCCGGAGTTGCTCTGCATGGAGTTAGCGTCGTCACCCAGGGGCAAACAGGTATGTTGACTTACCAAGGGTAATGTCGACTGCGTTGGGTAACCCCGTCTGTTTGGCCTTGCTCACAGCTTCTAGTATGGCGAAACTTGCAGAGTTGATCGTCTGCGGGGCACCGAATACCGTATGCGCAGCTGGACTGCCACGCCTAAGCTCGGATCCATCTTCAATATCATCCAACCTGAATGGCACAGCTTTGGTTACTTTGAGACTTCCGGTAAAGGATTGTGCATGCCTACTTACATGAGTGAAGCTGTATGCAACCAATGGATCACGTCTTTGACCTTGGACCCTTCATCTTCTGAAAGACCAGACCAAAGGCCCAGAGCATCTACTAGTGTATCTCTTACACCTTTCGAGGGTAGCGAGCTGGTGTAATGAAATGGCGCTTCCAGGTGCTGTTAGTGATCTTAGTAATTGTCCTCTAAAAGTCAAAGTACTTCGGAGGTGTTATCCTACATCTTGCCCTAGTTTCTCTTCGTCTGCCATCTCGCGCGACTTGCTCAGGTCAACTGAGTCCATCGATGTCAGAGATGAGATCGATGGCGATCGCGAACTGTCATTATATGTGGAGTCCGCCGAGCTTGCAGAAGCAAACGATGCACCGGATTGCAAATTGTTGTCGATGGTTCCGGTCCAAGGAAGCTCATCAAATGCATGGAGATCTTGATCACGGCCCTCCTTCGTAAGTTTGTCTTCAATACCAGCATTGGGATCGTAGCGATATTCAGAATGGTAGCGAGGGCAGTTCAGGCTCCAGATCACATTGCCGCTGATTTGGTACGACAGTCCTCGAAGATACCGATCGGCTGTTTCGGAAACGGGCGCGAACTTGCGTCTAAATTCGTCGCAGAGGCTCAGGAACTGCTTTTCGTGATGACTGGCAGCCTCAAGAACAAGTAGCTTCGCGCTCGCAATATCCACACCCTGCCATTGCATGTACAGCCATACTGCGTTGACCGGTTTAGGGGCACCGGGTTCTTGTGCCTCATCCCACTCCGAAGCGAAACAAGGCCGAACAACGCTTGCAAATTCGTCATGCTCTTTGTCCGTAAGCACCATGCCCATACCGAAGAGCATGACGGCCGCGACGAAACTGATGACTGGTCAGCTCAATGTGCCATGCTCAGTTTTCAATCGCACAAAGCTCACGGTGCTCCTGTGTCTACAATACGGAAGTCAAGGTACTCGTCAAGGCTGCCGAAATCATTGGTCTTGTGGCGCAAAGTGGTTGACAGCATCGTCTTCCAGACGTCCATGACCCGCTTCGCACTTGCTGGGTCGGTGGAAGACAGCTGAAGCATCATCTTAGCTTGGATCTGTTTCTGCCCGCTTTGGACATCCTTTCGGTTTGTCTCTGCGGCTCCCAAACGGAAGTCATCATCCTCACTTTGCGACTGATGTACAAATGTTAGTGAACGTCGGGAAGCAGCGTCCAAAAAGAGCCTACACATGGGGTCTCCGCCACTTCTACTATAGTGTCGTGCAAGAAGGCATCTGTCGTCCCGTCAGCGTTTTCCAATTTGGGTTTGTACAAATCTGACTTACACTCAAGGACATATGCTACGAGCGGCAGCCGCTCTGGTCTGCACAGAGGCAGAACTACGGCTGCGAAGTTGCCGTTCAGGGGGTTGCAGCCGCCAAACTCGTCAACGCGTCCAATGTATCGAGCCCAATCGAGCCTGGCTTCCCCGCACCCTGCGTTGGCCAATGCCTCATACTTGTGCCTCTTCAAGATATAATCTTGACAGAACCCGCAGGTATCATACTGCGACATGTCAACGACATCGCAAGTGTCTTCCTCGGGCAACATTGTATACATGCTTCCTGAACAAGTTGTTGGTTAATCTCGAGAGATTGATAGGTTGGGCAGTGTCACATAGCCAGTAAAACAGCTGGGGTCCTTCATATAGAGGACATGGGCTCAATCAACTTCTTGACCAAGTCGCAGTTCTTCCTCGAACATTGGCGTATCTTCGCGTCACTGCATATAGCTTGAGCGTCATACTCGACTCAACCTCTACGGTAAGTTTGAGCCATACACTTTTAGACATGATCAGTACGGTATGGCTGATGCCGGTCCGCCCCTTGAGCGGCTTAGCGTTAGCGCCGGGTCCTGGCGATCGCTTGATCGATCTATCGACCGATCGGTCGTATTATCCGCAAATGATATGTGATAAGATCGCTTTATACAAAGGGCGGAGATTGACTAATGTATGCTGTCTCGCGTCTTCTAGGCTAATACTCTTGGCACTACCTGTCTATGGAACTATCTACGCGATATATGGGGCCAGGATGCGGGCACTTAACCTGTAAGCGAAAAGCGGTGTGTAAGACGTATTTTATTTTCAACGAACCTCAATGGCTAGATACCCTGTTCCGCACGGGCAGTAGTACCCTTAGCACTGTTAGAAAGATCCGCACTCTGAGACACAATGACGCTCGCCGGGCAGTTCGCTCCGGGACGACATTCCGCTATTCACTGCACCCTTCCTTCGTCAAGATTGACAGTTTCACAAGAAACTCTCTAGAACAGCTGAGACAAAGCGCATTTCCTACGCAAGGCGCCGTAGATATGACGTAAATATGAACTATTCCAAAGATTATGCCTGACGGCCCAGACCGGTATGCTCTTCATTCTTGGATCCAATAAGCGCGGAATGCTAATAACCAATGCGACACAGTGCCTCTTATATAGGATTCCACGCTTCTACACCTGAGTCTAGTATTGGTTTTCGATATCACCGTAAAACACGAAACGTGTGGAGGCAATCTCTTATCTCCGCGGATGCCAGGCAAACCGAACAGCCCATTGCATAAACCGGAGGTACAACCTACTCATACGCCGCCGACGTTTCATTGCCAGTCTGGGTCTTCACGATGCCGAGCATGGGAGATACAGAGGCTGTGCTGTCTGAAATGAGCCTCGACGACACTGAAAGGGACGCCCTACGGCAGTTTGTGGAGCTGAGTCGAGAGCGAGGTCTCCTGAGCCGACCGGCTGATTTACATCCCCACGATGACATTGCCGGTTTGAACGACGAAGTCACTCTTTTGTAATCCTGCCGTAGTATACGAAAAGATCAGTCTTCTGACATTTTCTGACAGGAGGTTTATCCGAGGGCGATCTTTCGATGTCAATGGAGCGATAAGACAGTTTGAGCAAGCGATGGCGATTCGAGATGCTGCTCGGGCGGTTGCCTTATATGAAAGTATGGAGATCCAAGACTTTGAAAACGCTAGAAAGATGGTGAGTAGTACTATATTCTGGCGCTATAACATGGTTCGACGTTTGCTAATCCCGCGAGACTCATAGTACCCTCACTGGAGCGGCAGACGTGACAAGCTCGGGTTGCCCATCTGTGTCTTCGATCTTGACTGTCTCGATTGTGTCACACTGTCAAGTTACGGCAACAGCCGAAAAAAGAAAAGCGGCCATGGAAGCACGGCTACATCGGACGCGACGCAAAGAGCAATTGCCTTCCATGACTATCTGACTCGCTTCGTCCTGCCGCTTTGTTCGGCGATGCGAGACAGGCCAAACCCGGACCGCCCCATCACCAGTGCTGTCTATCTCGTCGACGTGTCTAGTCTGAGCTTAAGGCAAGCCTGGAGCTTGAAGACATATGCGCAAGATGTCAGTCAACTCCTCGCAACGTGCTATCCTGAGGTAATTGACCGGGTCTCGGTAAGTTCTAACTTGGAGCCCCATTGATTGCTGCGCGCTGCCAGCGCTGACCACAGTTCACATCTAGGTTCTCAACGCATCACCTTATTTCGAGAAGATCTGGGGCTTCTTAAGCAAATGGGTCGAATCACGAACAGCGTCAAAGCTGCAGGTTGTCCCACCTACTGACACCTTGCCAACTCTTCTTTCAACAATTGATATAGAGAGCATACCAGTGAAGCACGGGGGACACTGTAGGTTCCATCATGGCTTGGTGCCCCATTTGGATGACAATATCAAGCAAATGCTAGTTTGGGGACAATCTCGAAACGATGAGCTACTTGTCGGACCAATTAAATGGGGGACGGATCCTAGCAAAGGTAAGGGGCTATTAGCTGTTGGGACGGTTGAGGGTGTAAAGCGGCAGGTATCTTTGGGCTTTGTTAGATCGAAAATGTGATTTCTAAACTTCACGTTCCTGATTTGCAATGCAAGTACTTTTGTCCGTCGGCTTGGTTTTTCATTGAGATCATCGTCCCGATGACCACACCCATGAAAACGCAGCTCACGCGGACCTGCCGCGCTGCTCACGCCTTGCTCGACCCCTACCAGCACCGCCGCAATTCTCGCCCAATTTTGAGTGCTTCTGGTGAAAATTCTTCTGGGCCTCGATGGCATCGAGGTGGACGCGAGAGATGAGGATTGTCCCACGGCGGTGTCCGTGGTGGCGCACCAGGGATATGATCAGATATTGCAACGCCTGCTAGACACGGGCAAGGTCGACATCAACAGCAGAGACGGTGACAATCAGACAAAATCATCGTGGCGGTCGGGAATCATCACCCAGGTACTGTCGAAAGACTCTTGCGCTATCCCAACGTCGATACGAGAGGCGTCTTCGCTGCAGTCAGTGAGCGTGACAGCATACATGTAGCCATTACCGTCGCCCTACTCGAGTTGGGCACGTTGATTACAGCGTAAGGTTGAATGCTCATAAAACTCTTCTCCATCAGGCTGTCGGTAGACGAGACGTTGGTCTGGTCGCAAATGCCTCCAGTCGGGTCAAATCGACGCAAATGCCCGTAACCGTCATCAAGTGGCTGCACGGCATCGCATATGGCTTTAGTAGCAGACCATCTCGAGACCCTCAAGCTGCTCGCACAAGGGAAGATGGTACAACGAAGAGCGACTCGAGCGGCACTGATGATGGAATGAGTTGAGTGACTTCGAGATCACAGGCAGTGCTGGGTGGCGGAGAGTGCTAGCGAAATTCCGCCCCTTTTGAATGGGGATGTCGAATGTTATGTTTTGATAACTCCTACACGTTACGCGTTTGTTCGTGCTACCTACGGAATACGAGGTGAGTCGGCATGTAGCTGGGTTGGGGGGCTCATAGGTGCGCAAATGAGATTACTTAGTCAGCTAGAGCCCACAAAAGCTGCGCGCGCACCAATCAGATGCTTCGCCCAATGACACTACTGCACTGAGGACACTTTCCGTAGGTGCATCCAAGCAAGCCTCATCTTCTAACGCACGATTAAGCCACCACTTATTATCCAAAGACTCCTTCGTAATTATGAGCGACCTTCCGGCCATTGGAGAGTCTATCGACAGGACCAGCTGCCTGACTCAAACGGGTAATACGGGCTATCTCCGCGCGCATCCACTGGTTTTGCTTTTTTGGCACCACGACGATCAACACCGGGCGGATGGGCGAAACGGACGACCGCTCTTCCGCAGCCCATGCGGACAGGCACTCTTTGGCTCGCTCCCATGGTAGCGATATGACAAAGGAGCCGAGGGCAACCGGTTGTGGGCGGGCAGGTCGCCCTCGGCGAAGAGGACTGGCTGGATGGGGCGAGCATGCGAGAAATGCAGATTGATCTCACCGTGGCGTCTCGCAGTGGGGTGCCTGCTCCCTGGACAGAGATTGGTAAGAGCAAGATGTGCACGAGTCGAGAAACTCGACCTAAGCGTGCGCTGCCTTCTTTGGAGGCGCGCTAAGCTAGCAGCGCATAAAGAGGCTCTGCGATAGCGCGCTAAGAGTCCTCCTCCGCCAATGCCCTGCCCCAGACCTGCAACACTGTGAGAAGCCCTCCACCTGCCATCGTCCTACATCTACACCATGCTGCCCTCGGAGACAGAAACAACAGTCTATCCGGCGTCACCGTTGCACGAAGAGACCTCTCCGGCCAAAGCACCATGGTGGCGCCCTCCCTATCAACGTTGTCCTCCCGGCGCTCTACAGCACGCTGTCCAAACTCTGGGGGGCAAACATTGACAAGTCACTCATCGTGACGACCGACGTCTACACGTACATTGGCGTTATAATAAACTTATATATTAGCTTCGCTATCCTTATCTAAAAGAACTTCCTTGTTATTATTTTATAAATTATATCTTAGCTTAAATAGCTTAACTTATAGATAAGGCCTTATAGATTTTCTATATAGATTAATTATATAACTTCTTGCATTCGCAAAAATCTAGTTAGCGTGAACAACAATAACACCGCGACACAACGATGTCCGGTCTTTTTAGTTGCTGCTGACGTTAGAATTACTCTTACACGCTGCGAATGCGGGTGAACAATGTCATCGGAACTCGCTGGCGTGCGTAATAGAGTTGCGGTGGAATTTGAGACGTAACCATGGTATACGCCGACGCGGACCATGCAAGGGATGCACAATACTTCAAAATCGTACGAAAAAACTAAAAGCGACTACGAAAACTTCGAAGCTGCAGATATTCTGCCCAGTGCCGCATGCCATCAATCCAGCATTAGACGCCCCTGGCTTCGTCTTTTTATCCAAACCAGCTACTTGCTTTTTCGATTCGTGCAACAACCACGTCTGGCCGAGGCCACTTAACATGTCACGTATGGAAACGACGATGAGCCGAGTCGTACCACCATTGTGCAACTGGAACTTGCCAATCTCCTTGAATGCTTCGCCGCGAGAAGACAAGGCAATGCGATTGTCATGCTTAATGTGCCTTATCTTTGCCATCGTGAAGTGCTGGCGCAACTTCTCAAACTTCAAAAGACGAGTACGGAACTGAATATCCAGGCAAAGCTGGTCCGCCTCGTCGAATTGTCCCTGAGCGAACAAGGCTTCCGCTAATGACAGCTGGTGACGACGTTGTGTCCGCATATCTCGCCGGCCTGGACGACATAGTCGTCGCCGCGCTGTATCGGAAACGCCCAGCTGTGCTTCCGATCGAGCAAGCACACGGCCGCGCGGGCCTCCATCGGGAGCGGCGCGATCCACGCAATCGTGTAGCGTCCAGCGTCGAGCGCCATCGTGTCACCATAATTAGGAAACCACGTGAATAGCGATCTCGTGACTGTTGTTTGTCAGGGGGGTTTGCCTTGATTAGTCAGTCACACATTCGGCCCACAGCTGCCCTCAAAGGCAGCATCTTCGCGCTATCGCGTTCTTCCTTCTTTTCCTAGCATCAGCATGTTCTTCAGATAGAGAACTCATCGTCTTCCTTCTCTTCTGGTCTGTTGTTCATCATCATCTTCATAAAAGACTATCCCCAGTTGGGGTGCCCGACGGCGGCGCCTTCTGGAGGAGCCATGACAGGTAGGCGAGGTTGTCGCCGAAGAGACTACCGTGGTTGCGCCAGCCGCGGAGATACGGGGCGAAGGGCGGGAGGCGGGTGAAGCGGTGGATGGTGTTGATGCGGGAGAGCCGGAGCTCGGCACGCAGAAAGCGAGGATGGACCTGGCTTGGGTCATGCGTTCCGAGGAGCTCACTGGCCAGCGTCTTCCACTCTCCCCATGTGATCGTTACGTCGCTTGCGTCACGAGGCAAGAGAAGCTTCTCGTTGGCAACGTGGAAGTCACTCTCGGACGAGAGTAGACAGGCGTACGTGTAGAGAAAGCCCAGAGCGACGGCTCGCGGGTCCCGCCTGCACGGGACCGGAGGGCTCTCATGCGTACAGGCATCACGGCACGCTAGGTTGCCGCCCTAGAAGTCGACATCGAGGAAGAAGCGCGGGATGGGCTTAAGGAAGAGCCGGCCGCCGTTGTCCTAGAGGAGGTGCAGATCCATCCGGTCGGCGCCGGTAACCGGCCAGCCCAGGGCGACCTGCCAATGCAGCTGCGTGGCGGGACGCTTCGTGCTAGCAAACCACAGATGCCTGTCCATCTCACCGAGGCGGCCGAGGGACAGTTCGCTCTCTATAAAGGCCGGCACGCTGCCGGCCGGGTTTGCGACGGCGCGCCTTCCACAAGAGCCGTAGGAGTGATAGGAAGCTGGCAGGGCATCCGTGCTGCCATTGCTACCCGTCAACACGACGGTTGTGAAGGGTGAGGCGGGGCTCTTCGCCGAGGGGTCATGCTCTCGCGTGTTGCTGGACGCCCTCGTGCCGGCGAGAGCGGGGCGTCTCGCTGAGGCATGGGGGATGGATCGACCGGAGAGACCGAGAGGCGGGAACTAGTCGCCGGGCCGGCACGCGGCGGTGCTCTGCAGCAAGCGTCGGGAAATGCGAGGACACCGGAGGCCGGTCTGCACACGCTGTCAGCTCCAGGCGCCATCCACAAACAACACGGGCTCGACCCCGTCGTCTCACCGCATCTCGACCGTTCAAATTTCTGATCGTCTCTCCGGCGCGATAGATCTTCCTCGTTGTCAACGCGACTCGACGCCTTGGCCCGCTTTCTGTGTTATGTCGCGTCACAACTTGTCTGTGCAACCAGGTCGGGTGACGGCGCCTGCGAAATCGAGACGGTTGGATGCTGACGCACCATCGCGTCGCCAGCCGCGCAACCCCGCTCCAGCCACGGGCGCGCTGACGGGCGAGCGGACTTCTCGACACAGGACATCGCATCCTCCAGCCACCACACACGAAGGGCACAAAGATTTCAGGCGCTGTCTCGAAGACGATCGCCGCGTGCACGCTTGTTAGGCTCGGCCATGGAAACCAGGCTGTGTCCGGAGACCAACCATGATCCCTGCCAGCCCCAGCCAGGACGTGTTCCTTGCGGGCTGGACATTTGCGGTTTGTCTCCTGGCCGGTGCCATTGTTGCCTGTCTCTGGTTCTGTCCCACGGCGGCGCATTCCGAACACGCACCGTCATTTCCCGCTTCAGAGGGCTGGACTCGAGCCACGCGAGGAGTCCGCCTCACCCAAGTCAACCCCGACAAGACCGACACGGCCACAGACATCGACATCATCGCCGTCCACGGCCTCGACACGAGGTCGCCAGATACGTGGACGTGGCGGCGCCCGAAGACCCCCGGGGCGCGTCTAAAGCGGGCCGAAAACACAGAGGACTGCGTCAACTGGCTGCAGGATCAACGCATGCTCCCGGCCGCAGTGGGACGGGCCAGGATCTTCACGTGCGACTGGCCCGCTGACCTGCTTCAGCCGTCGGCCTTGGTCCAGAAGAGAATCGATGAGTATGCTCTGCTGCTGCTCGACGGCATTCAGAGGCGGCCCCCGGCAACGAATGACGCAAGAGGAGAAGACAGGCCGCTCTTCTTCGTCGCGTCGTGTCTCGGGGGCATCGTCCTAGTCAAGGCCCTTGTGGATGCCGACAACGAGAACAGCACTTACCGCCGTCTCAGAAGAGCAACACGTGGCATCGTCTTCCTCGCTACGCCGTTCCGCGGGACCTCCTTCCAAGACGTCGCAGCCTGGGCGGAGCCGGGCCTGAAGGCCTGGGCCGGCGTCCGAGGTCGACGACCGAGCAGACTGCTAGACAGCGTGAAGGGATCGGCCCTCGATCTCGAGGTCCTGGTGCGACGCTTCACGCATTTATGCCGAGACGAAGACTATCCCTGTGACGTGTTCACCTTCTACGAACTCGGTATAACGAGTCTGCCGAGCAAGGTATTCCCCTGGCTACCAGCAAGGCTACGCCGAGAAAAACCGGTAAGCCTCGCGAAGCATCGCCTGCGCTCGTCCTGGCTGACCGTTACCAGTTGGTCGATAGTTCCTCGGCGAGTTTAGACATCGTCCGCGACCCGCTGCCGCTCGACCGACCTCACGTCCTGACAAATAAATTCGAACACTCTAAATGCCCTGACTACGAGAAGGTTGCCGGGAAGATCAAAGAGATGCTCCACAGGATCCGTGAGGGAAGTCCGCTGAAGCAGGCGGACGCCTGGATACGCGACAAACACTACACTCCGGACAGGCTCGCAATCGAACGGCTCTCCGGCGATCTACTGCCGATAGACCGGTGCTATATCAACCTTGCCATCGTGGAGCAGCACAGGGAAACGACGCACCGCCTGGAGAAAGACTCTGAAGAAGAGGATGTAGCGCCCAAGTCCTCTCCATTTTCACTCCAAGCGAGACTGAGGGCGGAGACGCCGGATAGGACGGCCCAGGTCGAATTGCCGGCAATATTCAACCCGCGCAGACGGGGCAACACCGAGGTGAATCCCAGACGAATCCTGATTCGAGGACGCGCCGGCGTGGGCAAGACGACCTTGTGTAAGAGGATCGTCCATGACTTTACACGGCATGGCGCATGGGCGTCCTTGTTCGATCGAGTGCTGTGGGTGCCTCTGCGGAGGCTCAAGAGGCCGTCAGCCACAGGCTACAAACTTAAGAATCTACTCAGCCATGAGTATTTCTGGAACTGGCCAGGCAATAGCGGTCGTCTCGCCGATGCACTAGTGCGTGCTATTCAAGACGGTAGGACACTGTTTATTCTCGACGGCCTAGATGAGGCGTCCGATCTCCTAGATCCGGATCATAGGATGTCCGACTTCCTCAAATGGCTCCTGGATCAGCGCAACGTCGTTATCACGTCCCGTCCGTACACTAAACTCCCTACCACCATCACCGTCGATCTCGAACTGGAAACGACCGGGTTCTACCCGAATCAAGTGAACGAGTATCTCCGATATACTTTTCCCGATTCGCAAAAGACTAGCAAGATTCGGTCCTTCCTTCAAGATCACCAGCTCATGCAAGGTCTCGTTCGCATCCCGGTCCAGCTGGACGCGCTCTGCTTCACCTGGAACGAGGGCTTTGATTCCGCCACGAACCTTGATACTATGACCGCCGTTTACCGAGCAATCGAGCTAAGGTTGTGGAAGAAGGATGTTCCGCAACTGGAAAAGGAAAACAACGCAAAGTCGGTTACCCGCCTGGACATCGAATCGGCCAGCCGGTTCAAAATGGAGGCACTCGCTGAACACGAGATCTCGTTTCTAGAGGGCCTTTCCTTTACTGGGCTGCATAACGATGTGGTTGAGTTTGACCGTGGGTTTCTTAGTGAAGCCTTCGATCGCTTCGCACCATGTCTCCTACCAGACACGACCTTGCCACGCCTCTCCTTCCTGCGGACCTCAGATCCATCATCAGAGATCGGCAATCAAAGCTGCCACTTCCTGCACCTTAGCTACCAAGAATATTTTGCCGCACGTTATTTTGTACGCCAGTGGAAGGCAAGCCCGCCCAAAAACTTGGTGCTCGCCAGTCAGAACACTCAAGACGCGGGTCCTATGCCTGTCGAATATCTCCGGAAGCATAAGTACACAGCCCGGTATGACATCCTGTGGCGCTTCGTAACCGGTTTGCTTGACGCTGAGGGGAAGGCGAAGGAGTTCTTCGACGTGATTAGAAAGGAGCCGCTCGACCTCTTGGGCCTGACGCATCAAAGGCTCGTCATTCATTGCTTGAGCGAGGTGCAGGCTCGGCCGCAATCGAGTTTTGCACCGCTTCGAAGGCTTGAGGATCACCTGGTGGAATGGCTGTTATTCGAATGTAGATGCAGGGACCAGTCGTCCTTAGCACGTGAAATGGAGCTTCCGCCGCTGGCTTTATGCAGGGCACTGCAACAGGCGACCGATCAGGACCGAGGCAAGCTTGTCAACGCCTTAATAAGACGACACAGCGTTCCGACGAGCGTAGCTGATCTGCTAGCATCTTGGCTGAAAAGTTATGCACAGAAAGAGCTGATAAGGAGCATCTTGACCATCCTGGGTCGGCATTCAATCCTATCCGACGAAGTACTCACGCAGGTGGCGGCGCGGCTCGACGATAGCGACTGGCACGTCCGAGGGGCGGCCGTCGAGGCGCTCGCGGCCCGGGACCAGCTGTCCGACGAGGTGCTCACGCAGGTGGCGGCGCGGCTCGACGATAGCAACGTGTACGTCCGAGGGGCGGCCGTCGAGGCGCTCGCGGCCCGGGGCCAGCTGTCCGACGAGGTGCTCACGCAGGTGGCGGCGCGGCTCGACGATAGCGAGTGGCTCGTCCAACAGGCAACTGTTAAGGTACTGGTTTCTGGAACAAAACTACATGCTGGGATCATAGAGCCCCATCTGAAAACCATATACACAATCTTGCTTCATGGGGGCCAGATGGGCGACGTCTGTTGGCCGACGACAACCCATGATTCCTATCTACAAGTCGGCGAATCGGCAGTGGTTCACTTAGCTGGCTGGGCAGAGCGGTTCACGAATATGACTCGGGATATTGGAGCGGAGTTAGGCGTTCCGCGGTCGATAGCTACTGATCAATAGTAGCGCATCCGTCGATCATTTAATAGAATGGAGAACCGTATGGAGCTTTGAAAGTTCGTATTATTTTGGCACAAGAAGGGTGCAGGGGAATGTGCCGCTATATCGTCCTCGCGAGGCTCACCCGATGGTTCTTAGACACTTCTAGGTGTTTCTGGATCAGCGCTGGCCCTACTGTCGGGCTGATCGCGTGCATGCACACCGCTAGGAACCGGCTCTTTGATCACCTCAGTGTCCGCTGCGCGGTGCTGACCGACAACGCTGGTTAAGTTGGGCCTTGTAAAGATCAGATCACTAAAGGGAAAAGGAGGAGATGCTCTGCGGGTTTGAGATTTCAGATCCGAAGTAGTTGACGGGCCCGAGCGAGAAGTAATGTGTGCGCGAGTACTCTATACTAAGATAGACATTCAGACGAGATACTCGAGCAGGAACTTCGGGGTACTTGTGGGGCGCCGAGGTGGGGTTTGAGTCTGGACGCGTCCTCAAAGCAGCGACGGCTTCGTGGCAACCAGGCCGCTGGAATGTCAGAAACTGGATTCAATGAAGAGAGTGAGGAGGTGCACAATGTCGAGAGGGCGCTGCTAGATCGCTGCGAGTACGGGGTCCTTGGTGACTGAATTAATCTCTTGATCTTCCTAGAAGCATTCCTCGGCTGCGAAGGTTCTTCCCTCGGTGCGCCCCTGTGCACGTGACCCGATTGGGGCTTCCTGAGCCACACCCAGCCACAGGGCCAGTGGCTTCAGCCACCCCTGATGCCTGCAACAACCTTTGTATGCAACATGTGTCTGACACAAGCTACTGGAAGTCACTAGAAGAGAATTCGTGCCGCAGGTTGGTTATTGGGAATCGGAAGAAGGCTGATGCAAACGACGAGTATATATATCATTAGTGAGTTAGTGACCGGGTGTCCTAGCACTCTTTATAGCCAGCGGCCATTTTGTACGCAATCGGCCGACGAAGGCGCCAAACCAGCGCCGATGCAATCTCTCAGATCCTTGGCTTAGTTTAGATCTAGCCTAGTGAACGGAACATGCCGAGTCCTCCGCCGTCCAGGTCGTCGGTGCATGCGTGCTTATTGTGGACTTCCCTGGAGCTTGGGCACTTCCAATCATTCATTGATGCTTGAGGAAGCGCAATGCGGACACCGCTCAGGGTAGTGTAATTGTTGACAGGCAGAATGCAGCCGTTTCAGCTACAGCAGCCTGTAACCCACTCTGACTGCATAGAGTCCCCAGGCAAAGAAGTGCCCAAAGCCCTGGCGGAGTCAGCACGCCCATTCAGATCTAGCCGTCTCTTGCTGTTTATTGTGGCTGCAGCCGCGCAGAGAGAGTACCAGGGCTATGCTAGCCCAAGGTCAAAAGGAGTTCGCGAAGCGGGACGCCAAGCCAGATGCTAGCGGGGCCATCACACCCTCTCGACTATTATCATCTCTCATGGTCCATCATGGCTGCCACATGGC